TAGTTTGTTCCAAACTCAAAAAGCACTGACAAGAAGAGTTGAAAATCTTTCTGACCATCGAGCTGCCTCTAACTGGTAGTACCCTAGACAGCTACAATGTTGAAACCAATTGATAGTTTATGACAGACAAGAGATGAAGGTAAACCTTGCCAAGGACTTCTATCAACAACACCATAGCTTGCCTTAATGAAGTATGATACAATATACAAATAATCCAATTTAGGTTTAATATGCCCCCTCCAGGAACCTCCAAAATCAATAGAACATTTTGATTGGGGCAAAGAATCACAAGTGCAACAATAGAAAGTAAAACCATTCTAACAAAAAACTCCCAAAACCCTATTTCTCTGTACTTGCCCTAATTTTCATAAAGAAAGAAACTATTGTATGAATGGAAACCCTTTCTTCATTTCTCTCCTGGAGGGCTGGTATAATGGGGCTCCTGTGCAAAATATGTTATAGTACAGAGCACCATTTAGGTAGATTGTGTGCTTAGATGATATTGATGATTTAATGGAAATGGCTTGCTTTCCGGTAAAGTTGATCAAGGTGAGATAATATGTTAGTTTCAGTGCTACTCTGGTTGCTCTGTTCTGATATACTGTAAGTTTCATCCAGTTATTAAAGAACATTGGAACAAAATCTGATGCACAAACAGTGACTATAAAATACATGAAAATATCACTGAAAAGCAAAAGGTATTGTAAAAGAATTAAAAAATAGGGTTGAAAGAAAAGCAATGGTGTGAAGAACAGAGCTGATTCTTGTGTTACATAAATGAATTTCATACATTATACACTGCATTTTATTTGGATATACTGCATATGTTTGGGTCCTTTTATTATGCTTATGTGTTCACAATATTGATAAACCACGAAAGTTTATGAGGACTTAAACCTTCGGTTCACTTCTTTTCAGTTAATTCTGATCTAACACTAATGTGTCACGTATCCACTTGTCTGCAATGCATAGAGTTACCACTAGTCTCCACTTCTACATATTTAAATTCAACATTTTTATCACAAAAGGATTTCAATAATCCAATATTCTTTTAACAATAACCACATTCAGATCACACCAAATGCAAGCTAAGGACTATATCTCCAAGCCTGAACACAGAGCTATTTCTAGCTCATTATCAGACTTGGACAGAAATTCTGTTCCCTTCCCCCCACATTCACCCCTATGGTCATCATTTGTCATGCAGTGAAATAACCTGCATAAAACATAGCTAATTAAATCTTCTTTATCTTCTACTTCAGATCCAGGTATACGACATAAATGCAAGTAAAATCTTCATTGCTCATGTTGGGTAGAATATTGTACAAATTGGGTGAGAGGCAGAAGGAAAAGACAGAGGTAAATTTTGTTCTGCTATGATATCATGTAAGTCATATATTTATATCAGCTGCAAACCTGAATATTTGAATTGGAAAAATACCTTTTAATTAGTTGAGTTCCATTAGCCAAAGTTAATACAAATGAAATTATTAGTTGACTCACTGGAATGTTTTGTGGAATCTGTCAAGAATATCTGTTGTCTCCTTTTACATTTAATTTAAATTTGGAACTTCTGACCTGTTTGATTCAAAAGCTGAAGGGTATCTCGGGCAATAAGACGGTTGATGGTAAACATAAATTGTTTTTATATGCTGTTTGAGATAGATAGATGATAGATAGATAGATAGATAGATAGATAGATAGATAGATAGATAGATAGATATTAAAAAAAACATTAAAGTTCTTTATCAAAATTGGTGTAGTACATTTTGGTAAGTTATCAAAGTATTCAATTAAATGGAATAATTTTATTAATATGTCCAATAGGATCTAATGTACCTATTGAAAGATATAAAGATTGGGACCTTATATAAGGTTTGAATTCTTTTAAGAACCTTGGAATTATTGTTTCTAGGAAGATCTCCAGGTCAGTAAAGGTATGTATTTCAAAATGTTTACCACAAATTATGATTGAAATTAACAAATGATTACATGCTTTTATGGGAAAAAAATAAAGTATGATTAAATGAATACTTATTTTTAGAGGTATGTGGATGTTAAATCTGTTTGGATATTTTAAGGATATGAAAACGTTTATATTGATCTGACAGTTTCCCAGTTTTCTTTATCAAAATAACAATTTTCTTATAGAGAAGGAGTTTTGATTTTCAGATTTAGTTTATCACTGACATATTTTCATATCTCACTGAATAAGTCATTCTTTTTTAAAGTCTTCATGGACACATTTTTATTATTATTTGTTCCCCTTGGTATCTTGGCAGGGGTTTGGATCTATTTTTATTCTGTGTATCTATGACAGGAAATATTTGCCATTAAAGACTGCAAGATATATTTGAAATATATTGAGAAGAAATATTTTATTTCTAGTCTCGTAATTGATATCTGGAACAATCTGGGATAGGGTATTGATACTTTAACTAATAATCTTATAAAGTATTTGCAATATTGCAGGAAGAACTTGAAAACTGATGAATGGAAAGATATCCAATTAAAATGTTTTTTATCAACTGATTAATTGAATGCATTAGCAGCATCTGAAACTCCTAAATATTATGATTTGTCACCCTTATTACATTATTAGTATTAACTTAAGAACATTAAAATTTAATTAATCATTAAATTATATTATTGTTATTATTGAAGGATTACCTATGTAAGATTCTAAAGCTATTATTGTTTTAATTGATAGGATTATTATAACAAAGAAAGAAAACTGAGTTGTAATACTTTATGTAAATTAATCATTTAGTTTTAAATGATGTGTTTGTCTGATTGCCTCTTGATCTCCTGATATATTTGTAGTGTACTAAACACTTAAGATACTTACTAAAGACTGGATGCCAACATTAAAATGTTGGAAATTTGAAATTTTAAATAGTGGAAAGAACTTTAGTACACATTTTGAGCCTGTCCCATTGATGTTCCATTTTGGTTCAATGTAATTCAGTTTCTCAATTCAACATTGAGAAGAGAAAATAAAACATAAAGAAGTTAGTGTAATGTTATACCATAAATTTATACCATAAATTTAGAACTTAACAATGTATTTAGAATCTAGATTTCCAGTGGACTGTAGTTAAAATCACTGCTTTCTTTATCGAAATGAGTCTGCTAAACCAGATTTTAAATCTCAGATTGTTGATCTGTGTTTACTTTCTATTTGTCAATTGATTTTATATCAGTTAAAGAAAAACCTACCAATTTTCATTTTCTGTATAGTCAAGATATAATTTGTTGCTTAGAAACTCAGTTTATTTTCTCTTTAAATACATAATCTAATACATATTATTAATTGATATTATCTATGTATTTTTTCCTTTTTTGTTTTTTATATTTCAGTATTTTGGTCTTTGTATCTTTTTGTTATATTAAGAGACATAGAATACTATATTTACAAAATAAAATAAAAAATTAATAATACAAAAATTTTAAAATCAATAATTAAAAAGTAAAATTACAAACAATTTATCAGATACAGTAGGAGCTAAAAATGCTACTGCAAATTAGAATAAACACCTATCAAAACAGCTAAGAAAAATTATTAAACCAAAAAACAATCTTCAGTTAGAGTTGTTGTGTTGATAAATAATCTTCCCCTTCCTGAGTGGAGGATTGAATAGAATAGGCACAGTGCAGAAAATTGTGGGGTATGTGTTTATTTGTTTTGAACAAGATGGCATGAAACTTAGTTATACCCATTGAACAAATTTAGTTCTAGGTCTCATGCAAAGAATTTGTATACAATCCATCCATCCAGTGTACTAAAATAGGAAGCTACAGAAAAAGGTCACTCCTGTTCAGCAGAGACAGGAGTAGAAAACCGGATTGGATCAATTCACATGCTGTCTTCCAGGCAGCAAAATGACCTCTACAGACAAGGACATATATATTCCTATGTTGCTTCTCCCAGTGCTGCAGCCACTAAGTTCATGCAGCACCCTGGGAATCCGTCATTTAGTTTGCCTGGAAAGTCTTCGAGCAATGGCTTCATTCTTCCCTCATTCTAGGGGTAAGGATGGAATGAAGCTTCAGACAGCCTCTGTTCAAGCAGACCAGTAAAGTCTTCATTCCACAACTCCCTTCCTTCCTTCCTTCCTTCCTTCCTTCCTTCCTTCCTTCCTTCCTTTCTTTCTCACAAGAAAGAATTCCTATAAGGAGTCACCAAGAGTGATGGGGCTTTCTTTTGGTCCTTTGGATATCTCTTTGGTCCCTTCCATCTTTCCCATTCAGGTATATTTTTTTTTAAACAGATAGGGACATATTTCTTTCATTCTTTTTGATGGGTCAAACCACAAAGAAGTTAGTGCTTCAATTGTGTGTTGCTAGACTTTTGGGGAATTTTGTTTCTTAATAAGGTGCTTTCACAGTTTAAAGGCATAATTTCTGATGCCCAGATAAGCTTTGTGCTGCATATGGTCCCTCAAGCATTAATTGTTCATTTCTATTGTAATTACAACAAAGTTATTTTTTTTGCTATGGTGTATCTCACAAATACAAAGCAATTATTCATAGAAATAATAAACAGGTAGAACATCTATATAGAATACAAGCTACTAACGTCTCTGAATGCCTTCAGTACCATGGCTTTCATTTTATTTTTAAAAAACTAGCATTTGTTCAATTCATATCGCAAACCTTATACACTATATCTGTGATGGCGAACCTATGGAACAAGTGTCAAAGGTGGCATGCAGAGCCCTCTCTGTGGGCACGCGCGCTATCACCAGCTAGTCTTCACGCAAAGACCAGCTGGCCAGCACACATGCACGCAACGGAACCCAGAAGAGCAGTTGGCCATCATGCTCATGCGCACTGGCCAGCTGCTTTCTTCCGGGTTCTGGTATTCCTGTGCGCACGCATGCGTACACGTGTGCTCCAGTTTCAGCACTCGGTGCCAAAAAGGTTAGCCATCACTGCACTATATCATCACAAGCATCAGTTTTGACATACATTCTTTTTAAAGTATCTAGCTTTCTTACCTGTCACAATAGGATATGATTGTGGTCCTGGGACACTGGCACCTATATCTGTTGATGTAGGGCTTGTTAAATTGGCCTTCATTTCGTCTAATCCACCAGCTAGTGATGTCATGGCTGAATATTCTGTTGACTGAGTTCAAAGAAAAATGAGATCATTTAGTAACATTTTCCATATATTAAATTCTAATATATGATGAAACCAAGTTAAGTGGTTCATTCCTATATTGGCAGTGAAGGCCTTGGTGGGGTCATAATGGTAATAATGGTGATTTTATATCTGGTGATTGATTTTACTGTTCAGATGCAGCGTGAAATGAAACAGTTTGAAACTATGGTGAGATGTTATGACAACATGAATCCTGCAAACTTCAGTTATTGAATTAACCAAAAAAATGTTAGTTTCTCAGATTATTTGCTGGACAAATCACCAGCACTTTCTAATGTGAATCACAAGGTAATCTCAAAAAAATACTTCTAATTATTGGGAGGGGGGCATGGGAATCTCTGTATTGCTTCTACAAGCTTGAACGTTTTGACAGTTTCTTTCTATAAAGCCATGAATTATTAAGCATGACCATGATATTTTTGCTTTGTTTAATGATGCACTAGAAGTGTTTTTTAAATAGTTTTTTAACTGCAATGCATCCTCTGTTGGACTGTCCATTATAGAATTACCATTTAACAAGTTCCCAAACAAGAAAAGTATTGTGAGACTCGAACACTTTAATCTTAGAATATGTCCTCATTACAGTATAATGGATTAAAATAAAATTGCATTTCACAATTATAGTGCATCTTACAAGTATATAAAAAGTTGATAAATGTAAACTGATTCCTTCAAATAATGAACAGGTGGCAATCTATTGCCAAGCAGAAAATTAATATTAGAACCAATAAAGAAATTAGCAAGCCAACTATATACATGACTGTAACAATTATCAAGCAAGATGCAGACTGCCCTGTTTACCTGACCTTTTGGTTAATGGTTTGTGTTGCATTAATTATGTTTGTCTTTGGCTATAGTTAGAGTTGTTTCTTGTGATTTATTGGTTGCAGATATCACTTTGATTTTTTTTTTAGCTGTTGCTTTGGGTATGTCTGTATTTAAGCAATGACCTTAAGGATGTGCCACTGTTGTATTTTTGTTTTATCTTCTCATGCAGGACAGCAGCATAAAATATTTAAATAAGTATAAAATAGCTCAGAGAAAAGCTAACAAGCTCCTCCTGTGCAAGGCAGTATTGAAAAAAACTGTCTTGGTTTAAAATGACATAGATGTGCATTCCCTTGCATGTTTCCCTGGAAATTAAACTCCTTATTTCAAAGGGATATTAAAAGAAAAATGGTAGTACATACATACTTAGAGGTATATAGGCAGCAATGTATTATCTCTGGACTTTTATCCCAAACTGCCCACTCTGTTCAGAAGGGAGGATACTGTAGAACAATCCCTTGTTTTATAATTCCATCTTTTATTTTCATTGTGATTTCTTTAAAAATGCATTAATGATTTGTAACACTTCAGTTTTTTATTGGGGTAAATTGGAATCACCAATGTGCAGCTGATACTTTAGCCAGACTGTTTTAATGACCACCTATTACCCACAGAGCATAAAACAAAATGCTCTTAGCATTTGTAGGATTCTTCTCTTCAGAAATGTATTTTTAAAATAAATAAAGATAACAAGCCTGTCCATTTGTTTGTTAATAAGAATGCATGCTATATTTATTATTTGTAATCGGATACAACTTGGTTGCAGCTTGAAGTGAATCCTAACTCCAGGTGATGTAGGCAATTTTGGACATGTTTTGTTTGTTTCTTTTGATATTTTGTTTTCTCTTATTCACTGAAGGCATGTCTGATGTCCCAAATCATAATTCTGCTGCCCCCTCCCCAGTTTGTCTTCCAGCTCTTCATTGAAGTATAAATGCAGCCATAGCCCAACAGAGGACAAAATCAGATTTTTTTTTCTGTTTGTTGATGTAAAATAGCCTGTTGCAATCCATCTTTTTTTATACAAGTAGTCCTTGACTTACAACCATTCATTTAGTGACTGTTCAAAATTACAACAATACTGAAAGAAAGTGATTGATGACCATTTCTCACACTGAAGACCACTACAGCATCTCCATGGTCATGTGATCAAAATTCAGATTTATTTATGAGGGTTGCAATGTCCTGAGATCATGTGATGCTTTTTTGCGACCTTTTGACAAGCAAAGTCAATGGGGAAGTCAGATTCACTTAATAACTGTGTTACTAATTTAATAAACCGTAGTGATTAGCAACAGTGGCAAGGAAGGTGGGGCAAAAGTCACAATAATTCTCTTGCTTAGCAACGGAAAGTTTGGACTCAATTGTGGTCATAAATTGAGGACTAAAAGTAGACCAGCCTGGAAATAGCCAGGCTGGTCTACTTTTTCTAAAGATTCTAAAGATCTCACAGTCATTCAATACAGGAGTCATATAGTCTGGTACTTGAGGTTTTCTATACAGAGAAATTATGAATTTATATAGAGAAATTATGAATAAAGGCCAATATATGTGTCCCAGGATAATGTTGCTATCATGATAATGATAGTGTTAATGTTAATGTTGATAAACTGTGGATCGTTGTGTCTCTAAGAGAGAAAGGAGAAAGAATAGATATATAAAGCTCTAGAGAAGAAACATATCCCTGAGGCAGATAAGGATATGTATATGCATTTTTTAACAATTTAAAGACAATTCTTCTAGCAGCACAAGGTGCACATGCTTACATGCCTGTCATGCTAGTTCTTTCTGAAGTAAACAACTTTATGCAATGCACAGAAAAGGGGTGAGAAAGAATGTAAAGAGATGAAATAAGAAAAATTAGAGGAAATATAGCTAAATCTAGTTTGCACCAATACCATCCTTATATCTCTACACACCTCTCCATTTTGGCAAGCTATCTTTCCTTCAACTACATCCGTTTGCTGCCTTTTGTTCTTTGAACTCGCTTTATTTTTGTGGACTTTGTCAACTCCGTTCAACCTCTAGTTTTTTGGTCCTCCCCTTCCTTTGAACCCATTCCGTCTTCCTTCACATATTCGTTTTGCTGTGCTAGCCTTGTTCATTCTATCTGTATGACTAAATCACCTTAGTGTACTTTTGCATTTAATTCACATTTCAACCAGCACAGAATCATTCTTGATCCTCTCATTTCTTGAATCTCCACTCACTGTTCTTAACGTTACCAAATCCTGCTGCATTTAAATTGCTTGTATGTTTTGCCCGACATAACCAAGTCTCATTTCCACAGAACTAACTGGGTAGAAGTTTGCTCTTTCAACATTCATTTCTCCCAACAGATGGTATCTTCCCACCAGCTTTCTACCAGCATTGGCATAATTTAAAAATTCTCCATCCATTTTCCTATCTTTAATAAACATTCTACTGAGGTATGTAAACACAAATTTATTTCCTCTAGTTTTTGTCATTTATGTATAGCTCATAATCCTTCACCTTTTCTTCCTGTTTAACATATCTATCTAACTCTTTGATACATTAATTTTCAGATTCATACTTCACTTTGCATCATGTCTAACATTCCCTACAAATTATTCAGCTTCTCAGCCAGCAATCTGCCATCATCTTTATGTGCCCTAACCAAAACACTTCTTATATCACTACAAATATTTCTTATACATTTTTCCATAAATAGATCAACAAGGGGACATCACATATCCTTGTTTTTCTACCTAGTCAATGCTGAATTGTTTATTAACCATTCTATTTATTCCCATTCATGTTTTACTTCCATCCTTTTCTATTCTACTGGCATTCGGCAATCAAATTTCAAATCCGCAGCTGGGGAAAACATTCCATAATTTAAATATATTCATTTCGGTTCTTTTGTTTAACCATCATACACCAAGTTTTCTTTTTTGCATTCATATGTTCTCAATGACCTGTTGAAGAACAGAAACTGGTCTGGCATAAAACTGTACTGTACTTCCCAGATTTTTTTTTCTACCTCTTGAACACTTTTAGTCAGATTTTAGTCAAACCCGTAACCAGGCCCACTAATCCCCTTGTAAATTTTGTATTCATTCTTTCAACATTTCTCCTTGGTAAAGGGGAACAATAAGAGCATTCTTCCCATACTTACGCAACATTTGTAGTATTTGTTTCAGCTCTGCTTTTCAACATATCAACATATATAGTAGTCCTCGACTTATGACCACAATTGAACCCAAAATTTCTGTTGCTAAGCAAGACATTTGTTAAGTGAATTTTGCCCCATTATGACCTTCCTTGCCACAGTTGTTAAGTGAATCACTACAACTATTAAGTTAGTACCACGGTTGCTAAGTGAATCTGGCTTCCCCATTGACTTTGCTTATCAGAAGGTTGCAAAAGTTAATCACATGACCCCATCAAAAATATGAGTCACTTGCCAAGCATCTGAGTTTTGGTCACGTGACTATGGGGATGCTGCAAGGGTTGTACATGTGAAAAATGGTTGTAAGTCACTTTTTTTCAGTGCTGATGTAATTTTGAACATTGAATAATAATAATAATAATAATAATAATAATAATAATAATAATAATAATAATAATAATAATAATAATAATAATAATAATAATAATATTAATAATAATTTGTCCCGATTGTAATTGGAGCCCTCGGAGCAATACCCAAAGGGCTACCTCGCTATTTAGAAATCCTAAATTTGCCAGACTTGAACATTTTGACTCTACAAAAAACCACCTTACTCGGAACAGCTTACATCCTCCGACAATACCTTAACAATTCCTAGGTCCTTGGTTAGGACTCGAGCTGCTGAGCTATTAACCAGCCTCAAAGGCTGTGAATCTCACTAAAGATTAACCAATAAATAATAATTTTATTTCTATACCGCCCTTCTCCCGAAGTACTCAGGGCGGTATACAGCCTATTTAAAAACAGAATCAACATCAATTTAAAATAATTTAAAAATATTAAATAAATTTGGCTTAATTTAAAACCCCAAAAATTTAAAACATCCAATTTAAAATTATGTTGCTAACCCAGCCTGGCGGAACAACAGGGTCTTGAGTGCGCAGCGAAATACCCGGAGGTCAGAAATCTTACGAATTTCCGGGGGCAGTTCATTCCACAGGGC